GAGTCAAGATGGAAACCCAGATGTCCCTATCCAAATCTCTTTACCCTGTACCACAGAGAAAAAATGGATGATGTAGTGGGAAGAACCCTGGGTCAACTGTCTAGGTTCAGACACTAAATCATTATGTGACCTTGAGCAAGTGCCTTCTCTCAGGACCTCAGTTTCCTCTTTTATAAAATGATGAGTACATACATCCAAAATGAATCATAGGAGGGGAGAGAAGTTATGGAGGGAAAATCTGGTGGGCTATCAGTTTACCTTCTATGTGGAAAAAGGTTGTGATGGTTTCTCAGGGTAAGCATATCACAAATCTGTGTGAATTTCCTCACAGAACTGTGTGGAGAAGAAAAAGCAGGGAAAAGGGAAGAGTGTTTTCTCCTTAGAAGTAAGGAAGCAACTAAAAGTATTTCCTGTTATTGAGAGAGTGACATCTTGATGGGAGCTGCCTGAAAGAGGACTTTTGGTGGAAAATTGTCCTGAAGCCCCTAAATGGACCAGAGAAATGGATCAGCCCGAAGGAATTTCTACCTTCAAATGCGGGGATGCAGAATAAGTTAATAAAATCTAAATCATATTTGTACAGGTATAACCTATATCAGATTGTTTGCTGTCTTGGGGAGTGGGGAGGGAAGGGAGGGAGAAAAATTTGGAATTCAAAATCTTACAAAAATGGATGTTGAAAACTATCTTTACATGTAATTGAAAAAATACTATTAAGTAAAAAAAAAATCTACATGCTATTGGGAGCAGACTAGGCTTACTAAGCTGTGATTGAGAACAGTTAAGGGTTATTTAAAGGTACCTCTTTCAATCTTGTTCTAAATTGTGTACCATCTTGAAAATACAATAATTGTATACAACATCAGATTTTTTTGTGTTTATTTATTTTGCTTATTTTTTTCTCCTCTTCCTCTTTTTAAAAAAACTCTTTGTTAGAAGGGGTGACTCTCTGGGAGAAACATGGGGGGAAATCTAGGTGATGTCAAAACAAAAGATATCCATGAAATCTATTCAAAAGAAAATGGAATAATTAATGATTAGTAAATGGCATCCTTAGCTACTTTAGTAGAGGCTTTTTTTTAATAATGTGATAAGACATATACCTTTGTTTAGCATCCATAGCTATTCAGGCACCTGAGTTCAACAAAGATTTTCTACTTGTACATCCTTCTATCTATTGTGTCACCTTTCAGATTGTCATTACTGTGCTGTTTATCTTTAGTGGCTTGGTAAAATCACTCCTTTAAATCTGTCAGTGGAAGAAGTCAGTGTTTTCATGTCTGGGTCAATATGGATAGGGTACAGTGCATCTCTGATAGCCTTCAAAACTGCTTAAAATTACCCCCCTCTTACCCTATCAAGGTGCCCATCTGGCACTGTCACTGCATCCACTCAAGATGTGGGTGGGTATATGGCACGATATCAGCCTCTCGTTCACTCACTTGGTAAGCATTCACTAGTCACTAGTGGAGAGGACAAGGCTATGTACAAAGTCCTATAAGATTACGGAAGTACAGAGCCCAGTTCCTGCCTTGAAAGCCTTTATAACCTCATCCTCCTTGATGTTTTCCTGAAATTGTTCTGAACATTTCTCCTCCTCCCCAGAGCTAGGACATTCTGACTGGGATGCCCTCAAAGGCAGGGAGTATTTCTTTCCCCTTGGACTCAGGACTCCTTGAGGGCAGGGCCATTCCTTTCCTTTGGAAAAAACAGGAACCCCTAAAGACGGGGACCATATCTTCCCCTAGCCTCAGAAGGTATTGCCCTGGCCTCTGGGGAACAAAGCCTGAGAACCAGGGATCTGATAACCAAGAAGACAGGTTCTGACCGATAGTCATACTGAGAAATCCTGAGTAGATTCCCCAATACCTCGAGTTGACACCCAATTTAGAGTTTTTTACATTAGGCCATCTATGCCTCACTAATTCCTGGCCAGGAGACTTAGACTTGTTGGCCATCATGCAAAATACATGCACTACAACTTGAGTCTCCATTCTGCTTTAGAATTTGTTCAGAGCCATTTTTATAGGTATTTGGAGGGGTTTGGGTCTTCATCCTGAAGCTCCCCTAAAGACCTGGGAACTAAGGGGACCCTTCTGCTTAAAGATACCAGAGCATCTTAGGGAAACCAGATGCCCAATATTCAGGAAGAGAGGTCAGTGGTTGGTGTTGAATTTCTCGCTCTGTGTTTTGGCACCACCCATACGGCTGCTTGGCTCTGCAAACTTCCTTCCTTCCTCATTCATAGGACCAGAGATTCTCAGAGTTAGATGGGACCTCAGAAGCTGTCTAGTCCAATGCTTTCCTGAAAAATAATTTTCTCTACATCATCACCAACAGGTGCTCCCAGGACAGCCCATTCATTTGTGAACAGCTCTAACTGTTAGAATGTTCTTCCTTTATATCAAACCTTAAACCTGCTTCTCTGCAATTTTCAACTGTTGTGCTCCTAGTTTCGCCTTCCGAGGTTAAGAAGAACAGGTCTGATCCCACTTCCACATGACAGCCCTTCACATACTTGAAGACAGTTATCATGTCTCTCCTCCCACTCACCAAAGTTTTCTTTCCTCCAAGATCCTTCAACAGTTTTTCATATGTCCTGCTATTGAGGTCTTTCACCCATTCTAACTGCCCTCTTGTGGATGGTCTCTAGTTTTTGAATGCCCTTAAAATATGGCACCCAGAACTAACCACAATCCCCTAGATGTGGTCTGACTAGGGTAGGGGATGGCGGAACTATCATCTTCCTAGGCCTGGTGGGCACTCTGCCTCTCTTAATGCAGCTTAAAATCAAATTATCTGTTTGGGCCACAATATCACCATGAACTTGCAACCCATTCAAACCCTTGAAACTTTCAGGCACTGTGTTTCCACTTGAAGTTTTTCCTCCAACTCAACACATTCAGTGGGTAAAACTCCTGGGAAGAAGGTCTGAGTCTGGAGACTCAGGCACTGACTCCCAACCTCCTAGCCCTTTGCAGTGCTAGCACCTCGACCTCCTTCCTACAAGCCATAAGAGGTGGGGTGGTGGGGTGAGATTTGGTTCTGAAAGCAATAGTAACATCTACTGCTGGGAAAGGTGTAGACTGAGGTGGGCTATCTAACCCAGGTCTCCTGCCTAAGGAGATAAGCATAGATCTAAGAGAACTTTTGGCCTTGAGAAAGGGAGCAGGTGGAAAGAAGGTCTGGAGGTGGTGACCCAAGGGGCAGAGATGGGAATACAGGAAGCTGGAGAGTCAGGACCCTGGAGACCAGAGGTGTTGTGGGAGAGGATATAAAAAACTGGGCAGTGAAGGACTGGAACTGGAGAGGCTCAGAGGGTCTTGCGTCAGAAAGGCTGAGGTAGAAGGAGCTAGGCAATCAGTGACACAGTGGGCTAGATATCTAGGCACTCAAGGGGTTTGGGATTAGAAGACTGCAGTCAGGAGCCTGAACTTAGTGACAGAGACAAAGAGGTTTGGGATGCAGAGGATGGGGCGGAGGTAGCTGGGATGGCAAAGTTAATGCTTGAAGAGTCAGTACTGGGAAAGTTGAGGCAGATCAGACTAGAGATTCAGGGACACACAGAGGGTGGGGGATGATGGGCACTGGGGACTAGAAAGCAGAAACTGGGAAGGTTGAAACAGAGAGAACTTGAATTGGGAGGTTAAGACAGAGGAGGTTGGGATGCGGAAGTTTGTGTTTGAAGGGCAGGAACTGGAGAAGCTGGGACAGTAGATGAGGGAATGAGGGATGCAAAGGTCTAGAGCTAGGGGCAAGGGTAAAGACAGGCTAAGAATGAAGAAACAGGGGAGCAGGAGGGCCCAGTGAAGCTCACTGGGTCAAGATGGGAAGAACATTTGGGTGCCTGGGAGTGCAAGTGGGTCCCAAAGGTAAGACCTACTACTGGAAGGATGCCCCACAGACAGGAAGTGATGCTTTTGATTAAGGGGTCATAGGAAATGGGGGAAGGATGGAGAGAGAGCTGAGCCATATGGAAAGGTGGAGGAGACCAGAGAGAGGGCTACCAGGACAGAGGATGCCCTTCTTCTCTTCCTAGCCCAGATTCTTTGAGATCCTCTCTGTGCTTTCCCAGCTTTGTACCCTCTTAAATTTTGTGAGAATAGAAAAAACCTGTCTGGTGATCGGTCTTGTGTTGGGGGAGCAGGAGAGTTCAGGGACCCGCTTCCTCCTGAACCCCAAAACTGGCACTAGATAGTGGAATGACAATGGGAACCCATTAGAAAACTATGTTGATTTCATTCAAAATAATTATCTGATGAAAAAACATGGGAGACAGTTTGGGGGAGAGGGTGCTAGGCTGCCCATGGAATGCTGAGGAATCTAGACAGGAAAGAACACTCCAAGGACCTTGAGAGGTCATTGAATGCATCCCCCTGTTTTCCAGTAAGCCACTGGAGACCTATGAGAACCCAATCAATTCCCCCTTCCCTTCAAAGTACCTTATTCTATTTCCCCCCACCTCCACGCACAACCTGCTGTCAAATTTTCCCAGCCCTTATTTTCCCCTGCTACAGTTCTGGTCCCTTCCTTCCTTCCCCTGCTCTGCTCTGTCCTGGGGTAAGATAAAAATCTGGGCACTCTCCTCAGCCTATCTCTGACGGTAGAAATATACTTCTCCCCTTGCACCCCCCCCAACATTGCAATTCTCTGCTCTTGGATCCATAATAGAAGTGTGGAAGCAGGGGGATGGGAGGAGATGTGGGGAGGAGGAGAGGAAGGGAGATGGGAGGGTTGAATCAGAGGGAGATAGGGAGGGGATGCGGATAGGGATGGAGGGCAGATCGAGGATGGGGATGGAAGCAGAGAGGATGAAGGAGAAGCCGACAGGAAGGGACACAGAGGTACAGGAGGGAGAGAGCGGGTTAGGGGAGAGCGAATAGCGGGAGGATGGATGGAACCGGGGAAGGGATGCAGAGATGGGGCCGCGGTGCTGCAGTCGGTCCAGGTCAGCCGCGGTGGGTCGTGGTCAGTCCCGGCTCCGCGGGGCCCTCCCTCACCTGTGTCTGGGTCCCCCAAGAACGCGTCCTCGTCCTTTCGGCAGCGCAGCGGGACGGCAGGAGCCGGCTCGTCCTCCGGCAGCCGCGGGAAGCTCGTGATGCTCATGTAGTCCACCGGCGAGTACGCGCCCAAGGCGCTCTCCTGGCTCGCCTCCTTCTCCGCCGCCATCCTCACCCTAATCTGCCCCAGCAGCGCAGCGGCGGAAGTGACTGCGGGGTCTGGGAGAAGGGGTGGGGGATGGGGAGCACAGAGGGGGCGGGGCTTGTGGTCTGAGGGCGGGGTCTGGGGCCCTAAGTTGGTTGTACCAGGGCAGGTGGCCCCACTTAAGTGGGGTTGTGTCCCAGGTTGACCCCGATTCTGAGTGGCTGTCATGTTCTAGGAAGAGTCATGGAGTTGGAGGAGGAAGGACAGAGTAGAGGAAGAGATGGAAGAGGCAACCAATGACTCTCAGGAGGGTCTCTGATCCCGGGAGGCACCCATGCTTCTTTCTCCATCAGTTTCTCCCAGTTATGTCCAATACCCACTCTTCTTTCATCTCTGTTTCTCACTCATTGGAAGCCCATTATAATTGGCATCCCATTCATGTTTTCCTCCCTATCCCCTTCAGATCTCCATTCTCATCTTTATCCCTAGGCCCAAGCCCAAACCTATCTCCATAACTCTTTCCTCATCCTCCATCTCCGTCCCCATCCCCCTCTCTTTATATCTGTCTCTACTTCCACTTGCCATCCCCATCCCCATCCTTCTTTCTATCCTCCATCTCAATCTTGTCCTGGATCATAGACTTAGAGGTGGAAGAGATCTTAGAAATCATCTTCCGCAACTCACTCATTTTACAGATGAGGAAATTGGGCACAGAGAGATTAATTAGCTTGCCCAGAGTCATATATGTAGTAAACAGAAGAGACAGCATTTAAACCTAGGTCTTCTGACTCATTATTCAGTGCTCTTCTCATTACACAATGCTTCCAGCCTTCCTTCATCCCTTTCTTCATCTTTATCTTCAATTGCATCCCCATCCTAATTCCCATCCCTATTCTTGGCATAACATCTAAATTAATAAAGGAAAAATTAACTGAATTTGAAAAAGATAAAGTAACACAATAATAGTAGGAGAATTTAATCTTCTTCTTCCAGAGCTGGACAAATCTAACAGAAAGCTAAACAAAATGGAAAATATAGAATTGAACAAAGTGTTGGGGAATTTAGAACTAACAAAAGATGGCATATTCTGAATAGGATCATTAGATAGTATATACTTACTACATTACATTATATTATATTATGTTATGTTGTGTTATGTTATATTATATTATTGCTATGACATTTTAAAAAATAGACCATTTATTGGGGAGCAAAGAAATTGCAAATGTAAAAAAACTAAGAAATACTAAGCACATCCTTTATAGAACACGATGAAATTTAAATAGTATTCAATTTAGGGAATACAAACAAAAGATGCAACCTAAAAGTAGACTTAAAAATGAAATCCTAAGTGATCAAAGAACAAATCATAGAAACAATTAATAATACAAAAGAAAAAACAGTGAGAAAACATACCAAATTTCTGGGATATAGCTAAAATAAAAAATTATATCCCTATGAATACACATTCTCACTACAACACACTTGAAAAGTGGCCATCCAGCCTTTACTTAGAGACTACCTATGGAGGAGAACTCATTATCTCTCAAGGCAGCTCATTCCACTTTTGGATAGCTCTCATAGCTAGGAAAGATTCCTTTATATATCAGGTCTAAATTTTCCTCTGTAAGATATTTTTCAGACAAATTGCTTGCTAATATTTTGTTAGATTATAGGCAATGGCTACCCATATTGTACTCGAGAAGTTGATTTTTTAAACTCAAATGTAAGACTTGACATTCATCTCTATTAAATTTCATCTTATTGGATTCTATTAGGTTCTAAGAGCCTGTGAAGATCTTTTTGGATCCTGACTCCGTCATTCAGTGTATCAGCTATCCCTCCCAGTCTGGTGGCATCTGTAATTTTGATGAGGATCCTCTCTATGCCTTTGTCTGAGACATAGATTTGGGGGTTGGAGGGGGAGAAGGGACCCAGACCTGTGGTTTCATTATTATAAGAACCTTTGAGTGAGGAGCTTCCTGTACCAAGGCAGATAGACCTCAGCTCTGCTCTCTAGTCTTAGAGAGTTGGTTGGTGGACATTGAGTGACTTACCTAGAGAGAGGTTAAGTGACTTGCCACACACTGCCTGTATGTATAAAAAGAGGGACTTGATGTGAATTTTCTGTACCCTGAAGCTAGCTTAATGTTCACTATACCAAGTAGTCTCTAAAGTCATTGATAGATAGGTTAAATAGCACAGGACCAAATATAGATTCCTGGCGTGTTCCACTGGAGAGCGCCTTCCAAATTCATATGGAATGGAATACTATTGTACTGAAAGAAATGATGAAAGGATGGTTTCAGAAAAACTTGGGAAGACTTGTATGAACTGATGTGAAGTAAAATGAGCAGAACCAGAACAACTTATGCAATAACAACAATATTACAAAGATAATCAACTTTAAAAGACTTAATAACTCTGATCAAAATAATGACCAACCATAATTCCAAAGAACTCATGATGAAATATGCTATCCACCTTCAGATAGAGAAGTGATGGATTTAGACTCAGACTGAGGCATATTTTCTTCTATTTCTCATTTTTTTTCTTGGAACATGGCTAATTTGGAAATCTGTTTTGTTTATCTATACATATTTGTAATGAATTTTATTTTTCTTGCCTTTTCAATGGGTGGGGAAAGGGGAAAGGAGAGGGAAAGAATTTGAAACTGAAAATAAAATAAAATTGAATTAACAAAAAGCCAAAACAAATTTGCATGGAACCATAGTCTGCTTATTTAACCAATTCTGAACCTAGTATCTAGGATGTAATTGTAGATCTGAAGTCAACACAGGATCAGTTGTTTTTTTTTTTTTTTAAATTTTGAGTTCCAAATTTTCTCCCTCCTGTTAGCCCCTCTTCCACCCAGTGAGGAGGCAAGCAATATGATATCAATTATACATGTAAAATCATGCAAAAATATAGTTCCGTATTAGCCATGTTGCAAAAAAAGCAAGAAAAGTAAAGAAAGTGAAAAAATTATACTTCAGTTTGCACTCAGAATTCATCAGTTCTCTCTCTGGAGGTGAATAGTATTTTTCATCATGGGTCATTTGAAATTGTCTTGGGTCATTGTCTTGATCAGAGTGGCTAAGTTTTTCATGGCTGATCATTGTTACAATGTTGTTATTATTGTGTACAATGTTCTTCTGGTTCTGCTCACTTTACTTTGCATCAGTTCATATAAGTCTTCCCAAGTTTTTCTTAAACTATCTCCTATGTCATTTCTTAGACCACAATAATATTCCATCATAATCATATGCCACCATTTGGTCAGCCATTCTCCAACTGATAGGCATCCCCTTAATGTCCAATTCTTTGCCACCCCAAAAAGAGTTGCTATAAATATTGCTTCCCTTTTCCTTGATCTCTTTGGGATACAGACCAAGTAGTGGTATTGCTGGGTCAAAGGGTATGCAAAGTTTTATTGCCCTTTGGGCATAGTTCCAAATTGTTCTCCAAAAAGGTTAAATCAGTTCACACCAACAGTACCTTAGCCTCTCTGTTTCTCCACATCTCCTCCCTTCCTTTTTCTGTTATATTAGCCAATCTTATAGGTGTGAGGTGTTACCTCAGAGTTGTTTTAATTTGCATTTCTTTAATCGATAGTGATTTAGAGCATTTTTTTCATAAGACTATAGATAGCTTTGGTTTCTTCTGAAAACTGTTTATTTATATCCTTTGACCAACTATCAATTGGGGAATGACTTATTTTTTAAAATAAATTTTACTGTTACTTATATACTTGAGAAATGAGGCCTTTATCAAAGAAATGTCATAAAAATTGTTTACCAGTCGTTTTCCTTCTAATTTTGGCTGCATTGGTTTTGTTTATGAAAAGCTTTTTGATTTCATGTGATTAAAATTATCCATTATACCTCCCATGATCTTCTCTGTCTCTTGTTTAGTCACAAACTCTTCCTTTATCCATAGATCTGACAGGTAAAATTTTTCATGCTTCCCTAATTTGCTTATATCACCCTTTATGTTTAAATCATGTACCCATTTTGACCTTTTCTTGGCATATGATATAAGACATTGGTCTCTGCCTAGTTTCTGCCAAGCTACTTTTTGATTTTCTCAGCAATTTTTGTCAAATAGTGAGCTCTTGCCCCAAAAGCTTGGATCTTTGGGTTTATCAAACACTAGATTTTTGTGGTCGTTTACTACTGTGTATTGTGTACCTAATCTATTCCACAGGATCAGTGCCTTTAAGACCACACCTTTCACCTCTAGCACCCAAGCCAGCACTTGAACTTCATACACTAGGCCCCTTATCTCTGGAACCCAGCCCAAGACCATAGACTCTGGCACCAAACATTTTACTGTCTTGACCTCAACTACAAATAGGATCTCTGACACCAGCATCCAATCTCCCTTCTTCCCTAGTGCTTGAAAGTGAACTCATTCTATCTTCTGCCATTTATAGGACTCTTGAGAGTAGAAATCTTGGTTCTTCATTCCTATCCTATGGCTAACAAACTTCCGCCTTTTATTCTCTTTGTCTAGTGATATAGGTTAGCCAGCCTAAGTGAATTACACCCCTTTTCCTCAATACCATTCCACATTCTCTCAGCCCCATGCCATTCCAAGTCCCCATCCAGTTCTGTCTTCTTCCATTGTGTACTCTGGAAACCCTGTTCAAATATAAACAAACTTCCCTTCCTTTCCTCCCATACTCCTTCCATCTTCTGGCACTCCTGGATCTCTTCAGAAAATACTGCATCTTTATCTATCTCAAGAGTGGGGAACCTGTGGCCTCGAGGCCACACACGGCCCTCTAGGTCCTCAAGTTTGGCCGCCCTTTGCCTGAATCTAAACTTCATGGAACAAATCCCCTTAATAAAAGGATTTGTTCTGTAAAACTTGGACTTAGTCAAAAGACTGCACCCAAGGAGTTAGAAGGCCTCTAAGCCTCACGTTCCCCACCCCTGGTCTATCTTCTCCATCACTGGACGCATCTACTTTTATATCTCTTATGATACTGGACCAAGAGGAGGAATGGGACCATTCCTTTT